AGGTGGAGGGTTTCTGAAGCAAGCTGCAACTGCTATGGCAAGCACTAGTCATATATTTGAATGTTGAGCAGCAACAAATGTTGGCTACTGATACAGGAGAGAACCAATCAGCTGTGCCATGTGATAATGATGTCATTAGGTCAGATTGAGTTAGACCTATCGGACTGTGCCATCTAGAGTTTCATGCCAGAACTCTGTATTTAGACAATATTATAGAATATTATTAAATATCTAAACATATTTTTGAAATGTACAAATTAGATTGTGTGTTTGTGTGCATATATAATATTAAATAAAAGTGGTATTAATATTAAATAATGATAAATTATATAAAATAATTTATACAATGAATAATATTTTAAAATATTAAATACTCTGAGAACCATGCCAGATGGTACAGACATCTCCTTGTTAATTAGGCTAGTCAGTACTAGTCATTGTTGTGTTAACTGAGTGGGAAGTGATTTCAGACAGCGTAGTGAAACCAGTTTAAGATGGACATGTCTTGGATAGGCACTTTCGAACCAGGTGTGGGGACCATTTAACAGCAGGCATCCCAGATAATGGCCGTGTTGGTTGTTTATTGCTGTGCCATGGGAGAGTGTCTGATCTCGCAATACAGTCTGTTTCAACCATTTGATGTAAACCAGGCAAAATATCAGCATAAAACATGTCCATTGACGGTAGATACAGTACAGTTTGTATACATTGTGCAGGTTTTTTATTATGTATGCGTATAAATACTATGTGTATGTAAGGAAGTGTCCGCATATATGTTGTTCACCATGTCGCCAGCTGCCGCTTTTCAATCATTCCAGCACGCAGTGTTCAGATGGCTTCCATTCCATTGTTTATTTTGAGTGCTCAGCGGTGGGTAATAGTCTGTGACTCCTTCATCAAGCGCACAGACTCGCTTGTATACGTATAGCATTGATTTAATGTTTGAGCTACAGTTGAGGCGTAATAACTTTTCTATCCACAAAGGTGTAGTTGTACGAACACATCAACAAAATAGTGCTTTAGCGTATAGTTAGCGCTTCCTCTTCCAAGTTCATAAAGAATGGTTTGTGAATGTCATGTGCAGCTCAGCCCAAGGACAGTATATTATTATTCTTGGCTTGGCATGTTTTAGCGAAGATGATGTGTGGTGTGACTGTCTGTGAGAGTATACCTGGTGGTTTTATACACAATTTGTTTTTTAATTCTGTGTTTAGTCCAAGCCTGTTCCTCTTGCAGTGCTACTATGCTCTGAAAACAGCTGGCATATGGGCTTGGGGAATGTTTCAACAAATCCAAATGAGTTTATTTTTTCTGATTTTGCGAATCCCAAGGGGCTTCAGAGGTTAAGTTCACTCAACTCGTGTTTAAAAACCCATTTGGCTCATTCTCATTCACTCGGAACTCCTCCAAGATTTGTTTTTATTAACAAAGTCAGCGTCGGTTCATACACGCAACTGTTTACCCTCCAGCGCTGCACATTTCAGCACTAAAGCAGTAACAGTGCCACACATTCTTACTGTGAAGAAAGCTATTCACCATCTCAGAGTCATCTTTACATTGCAGGTATGAATAAGCCTGTGTGGATTATAGGGCTGCACGATATTGGAAACAACCGAAATTGTGATGTTTTGTTTTTCTGCAATATGTTGCCATAAAAAAACTACAGGAATTTTTATCAGGTGATTTAAATAGCTGTGTTTGGGGGGAAAAATCAATCTAGGATAATTGGGGTGTGCATCTGCATAGAAAATACAAATAACTGTTACCCTCCCCCTTTCTTTTTTTCCATTTTGTTTCTTTTCTTTTCTTTCTTTTTTCTTTCTTTCTTTCTTTCTTTCTTTCCTTCCTTACACCCTTTGATGCATGATTTGGGAAAAATAAAATAAAATAAAAATTCACATTCCAAAAAACCTCATTCCAACTGTTTTGACACTGAAAATGTTAAATAAATATTAAAATATGAAACAAATTAAGAAATACATTGTAATAATACTATTGCACTGTATTTCATAAATAATTGTATTTTATTGTAAAACTATAAAAGTACATTAATATTTGTGTCTAAATTTCAAACATCAAACCATCTAGCTTTTATTTAGGCAGTTTGCTGGAAAGTAAACAAAGGTTTTCGAGTGAAATGCAGCACTGTGTTCATTTACACGCTTACAGCTCATGATACAGTGTTAAGTGACTGGTCATACAATAAATTTTATTTTAATATATCATGCAACCTTAGCTGTTAGAATATTTGTCACATTCCGATTTTTTATGTCTTATACTGATAATCTTATAAAATCTTTACGTAAATTCCCCTCACTTGAAATGTTTCTATAGAATAAATGCTCTGATGGTGTATGTTTTCATTAATAATTTAAACCTTGATTTTTTTTAACCATAGTGAGAACCATAATAGACAGATGTAAACACGGCAGGTTGCGTGACATGAACAAGCAAGGTAAAAGAAAATATGGTCCAGATAACATTAATACGGGTTCACTTGCAGCGAGGATAAAAATGATCTATGCAACCACAGCATGTTTTGTGTGGTGATTTATTAGCTGCCAAGAGCATGAAACCATTGAAAAGACATTTAGAAACCAAACACTCAAACAAACCAGCTGAAATGACCTTAATACTGTAATAAATATTTAAGTAAATTTCAGTCTTTGATTTAGTTTACTTCTGTACGATAAACAGTTTTTTGGTTGTTGAGTCGCCGCTTGGTAAAACCAGTTAAGCATCACTAGTTTATAAGTGTTTTAGGTTAATTTTCAGCATGTGTGTTGTTTAGCTATGACCTTATGAACAGATGTGTATATGTAAACATCATTATTAAAAAAATGTCATCCGTGGCTTATCGTAGATGGCTTGATGTGTGATAGTTCTGTTAACAGCGACTGAGGCAATGTCGCTATTTATTCATCAGAGAAAACAAGAACGTAGAGTGTATACATAACGACAATGATTTATAGCTCCAAAAAAGATTTTTGGAAAGGCGTGTTTATCTGCCCAGCCTCTTCGCTGGTATCGAAGGGTCACGGTGACGTGAAAACCAAATGCACACGTCTCGAGGTGTGAATGAACTGTGTAGACAATTGTGGCATACTGATGGATATGATGCTCTTTGTTCTAGCAGAGATTTGTAAAAATGATCCCGGAGGCGCTTACTGCCAACAGCTTTGTCAGTGTACAGGAAAACTCCCATGACAGTTAGATTGAATCCAGGCCCAAGCACCCAGAACGCTCTTGAATCCACACATTGTTTCCCGAGAAGCTGAATGGCACTTTCTTGGACGAAGTAGTAGGAAACAGAGAGAAAGAAAGAGACGGCCACCCTCTCGGCTTCTATGTACCGCACACCCCCATTGCTCTTATTTCTGAAAAACCAAAGAGCCGATTGCCTGAAGGATTTAACGTCTTTGTGACTAGATTCCGACCGCAGACCAGAATGGGTGGCTTTAGTTGTGTCACCAGGGGTCGTAAGGGATTGAGTAAGAGTGCTATCTTTAAACGTGTGCATCACGGACACCTCTCTGTTGGTCTTCTGTTGGATTGTTTTGTGTGCCATAAAGAGCGGGACGATGGATTTCATTGCATGGGATTAATCACGAGTACAACAGGAAGGGTGAGAGGCCTCTAAAGCCCCAAGCTTCACTGCAGGAAGTGACATTTGGCAGTTTACCTGGATGCGGTCCGAAGAGAAGCCATATCTAGCGTGTGTAATCTGAGCTTGACTCTGGGAACTTTATGTATGACATATTTGCCATATTTAACGTCCCCATCATCCCAAAATGCTCAACACAGCCAAGAGAAAAAGTGTGTTGCTCAGAGGAGTAATTGAGTTCTCAGTTATACTTCAATTAATTATCAACTCAAATGTTTTCCTAATTTGACTTAGTAGAAACAAAAATAGACACAAATGAGGCTATTGTTGAC